TGTGTGGGTGTGGTGGTGTGATGTGGGGGTGTGGTGGTGTGATGTGTATGTGGTGGTGTGATGTGGGGGTGTGGTGGTGTGATGTGGGGGTGTGGTGTGTGATGTGTGTGGTGGTGATGTGGGGTGTGTGGTGTGATGTGTGGGGTGGTGGATGTGATGGTGGTGTGATGGTGGTGTGATGTGGGTGTGGTGGTGTGATGTGGGTGTGGTGGTGTGATGTGTGGGTGTGGTGGTGTGATGTGGGGGTGTGGTGGTGTGATGTGTATGTGGTGGTGTGATGTGGGGGTGTGGTGGTGTGATGTGGGGGTGTGGTAGTAGTGACGATGTATACAGTAATGTGTGTAGCAGTCAATATTATTTTAAGATCATACCTATTATTTCGTCTCTCTCTCTCTCTCTCTCTCTCTCTCTCTCTCTCTCTCTCTCTCCATCAGTCGTGTTCCGGGTAAAGTAATCAACTAAGCCGTTTTATCTCCGGGTTCTCTAATCTTATTTCGGGATACGGTATTCAGTAAGTCGTTTTATTGCGGTTTGTGTAATCGGTTTATTGTGACATGGCGGTTTATATAATCGGGTTATTCTTATGGCCACTGATTGATTACTTGATTGATTGATTGATTTATTGATTGATTTATTGGTTGATTGATTAATTGATTGATAGATTGATTTCTTGGTTGACTGATTTACTGACTGACTGATTTACTGATTGATTTCTTGATTTCTTGGTTGACTGACTGACCGACCGACTGATTGATTGATTGATTGATTTACTGACTGACTGATTGATTGATTGAATGATTGGTCGTAATACCTGTTGAATGTTGGCAGGTACGGACACGAAATCAAGAGACTTAAGAAATATGAAAATAACTGAACGAATTTGAGGTGCTGTGCGCGGAGGAAAATGGAGGAGAACAGTTAGGTGGGGAGGAGGACAACGGAAGCTGCTGTGAGAAGAGGAGGAGGAGGAGGAGGAGGAGGAGGAGGACAAAAGGAAGCTAGTGTGAGGAGGAGGGGAGGAGGAGGAGGGGGAGGAGGAGGAGGAGAGGAAAGAAGGAGGAGGAGGACAAAAAGCTAGTGTGAGGAGGAGGAGGAGGAGGAGGAGGAGGAGGAGGAAGACAAAGAAAGCTAGTGTGAGGAGGAGGAGGAGGAGGAGGAGGAAGACGAGGAGGAGGAGGGAGAGGGTGGAGAAGACGTGTTAATGTGGTGAGAAGCAGCAGCAGGAAGACGAGGAGTAGAAGCAGGAGGAAGAAGGAAGAGTAAGGGAGCAGGGGGACTAAGGTGGACTTGGAGGAAGGGGAGAAGGAGGAGGAGTGGACGTCTTAATGTAATAACTAAGAGGAAAGAAGATCTAGATTAGTTTTGAGACAGGAGGAGGAAGAGACAGCAAGGGAGACCAAGACAGAGGGACATACACCGTGTGAGGGAGGGAGGGACGAGACATACACCGTGTGAGGGAGGGAGGGACGAGACATACACCTGCACAGTTCAGGTATCATAATCAACAAAAGCCTGGCTGCAGGGTTTTCTAATCTTATCTGGGCCCGTAATCCACTTTCCCTCCTCTCGCCTCCCCCCACTTGTAGTTCAGGACAACAAACTGGACCGTGTATGAATAAGTTAAGGTTCGTGATTCTCCAATCTTTGTACGATAACTTTTCCCCCAAATGTACGATAACATTCACCTGGCCAAGAGATAACAGTTTCAACGGCGCTGTTATTAGAGGAGCAAGCAAATCCATTCTTATAAATATTCAGTTAGCCATGTAGATTTTTATACCCGACGAGACTATAATATATGTATATATATATATATATATATATATATATATATATATATATATATATATATATATATATATATATATATATATATATATATATATATATATATATATATATATATATATATATATATATACGAGTGGAACAAGCTTAGCAACTTTGTAGTAAGTGCTGGAACTCTGGAAAGTTTCAAAAGGAGGCTAGATAGATTCATGGATGATAGAGAGTGGTAGTAACTCTCGACAGGAGCTGCCATGCACAGGCTAACCGGCCTATTGCAGACTCCTTATTTTCTTATGTTCTTATGAATCGCCGCCCTCCGGACGGCTCTTTCGCTAGGCCACGGTAGGACGCCACCCTCCGGGAGGCTCCACATTGTCTCACTGTAGTGCATTAAGATAGACCACATTTTTGGTTTTGCCATTAGCAGCAAGTATGTACATATTTTTGCCAGTTCCCACTCAGGAGCATCCAACATAGAACTGTCCATGAGAGAAGCAAGGAAACACCAGGTTTAGGCCAACCATCTTTAAGGACTGTCCCTGGCTCTTGTAGATGGTCATGGCAAAGCTCACTTTAACCGGGAACTGAAGTCGCTTGAACTCAAATGGCAGGTCAGTGGTGATGAGAGGTATCCTTGGTATAAACACGTCCTCTCCTTTAGCTTTTCCTGTCAGCATTGTAGCTTCCAGTACATGTGGCATCATGTTCTTCACCACCAGTCTTGTGCCATTGCAAAGGATTGGTGGTTCAAGATTTCTTAAGAACATTATAGGAGTTCCAATCTTGAGAGTGAGGTGGTGAGGAGGCATTCCAGCGGGCTCCAAAGAATTAAGGAATTCTGCAGGGTACTGGACTGCTGGGTCCTGGTCGATTACTGTATCAACAGATTTGAATGAGGTCTCACTGCATGGAAGCTGTCTGAGTAGAGTCATGTTGATTTCAGCCACTGTTTCATTCTTTGGTGCCAGAATTGCGCGTTCACTCAGCCACTTGTGATCCTTGCAGTGGTGGATAATGTTTGGGTAGACCATGTTAGTGAGCTCAGTTGAGGACTTTACAACATTTTCACATCCACAGAGAGAGGGAAAGAAAGAGAATATATACTTTGGGAGAATTACTAAGGAAAGAAACAGAGAAAATTATATAAAAGACTGAGAGAGAAAGACACTTATAACTATTAAACCTTACCATATTAAAGTGTTTATGGTATATCATCTGAAGTCTTATATATGAGTGGTAGTTATAACCTTATATCTTAACAATTCTAATGTTTTGATCCTTTCTTATGATGTTGAGCCCAAATAATAATGAATGAATAATGTTTTTCTTTCACGCGCATATGTAGTATATTGGGAGCCCTCCCCTCCCCTCCCCTCTCCTCCACAAAAAAAATCACTATTTATAATGTAATAATTCAGCCAGATCAAGACATGGGCATGTGGTAGACCTCGTTTCTGCCACTCAATGGAATACATGCAGCACCGTGTAGGGCCAAAGATAAATAGTTCATTAACGGTGTATGTAAGTTTCACTATGTTTTTCACTACAACGGTACAGCAAAGGATATTTTTCTAGCATTAAACTGTTTTTATTTTATTGTCAAATCATCACTACATATAACATCATCCATCATCACTACATATAACACCATCCATCATCACTACATATAACACCACCCATCATCACTACATATAACACCATCCACATCACTACATATAACATCATCCATCATCACAACATATAACACTATCCATCATCACTACATATAACACCATCCATCATCACTACATACAACACCATCCATCATCACTACATATAACACCACCCATCATCACTACATATAACACCATCCATCATTACTACATATAACATCACCCATCATCACTACATATAACACCATCCATCATCACTACATATAACACCATCCATCATCACTACATATAACACCACCCATCATCACTACATATAACACCATCCATCATCACTACATATAACACCACCCATCATCACTACATATAACAACATCCATCATCACTACATATAATATCATCATCCATCATCACTACATATAACACCATCCATCATGACTACATATAACACCATCCATCATCACTACAGATCGGTAAAGTAGTTTCCGAGATTCTCGTGCGGACACACACACAAATACACACAGACATACTTCTTTGTTATATATATATATATAAAATATATATATATATATATATATATATATATATATATATATATATATATATATATATATATATATATAAATAAATACACAGTATATCTGTCGTGTTTTATGCAGTAGACGGTAATATGATGCAGTCCAGTAAGAAAACAGAATAATGAAGGGAACAAATGCAATTATTTATATGAGAGAGAGAGTGTATGTATATGTGTGTAATGGTCAACATGCTCTCCTCGTGAAGAGAGGGACCTGTTCGATCCTGCAGTGAAACTATGGCAAGTTTTACGCGCTATTTCTGTCTACCCAGCAGTAATGGACCTGGATGTTAATTGATTTGCGGATCGTGTTCCGGGGTAATGGTTAGCCAGTGCAGTTGGCGAGTTGTCCGGTCTTCTCGGACTATTACTTGACACTGGGCCATGCAGCTCGTTAACTCAGGGTGTGGTTGTTGTGTTGGCTACAGCTTCTACACCTTAAACAAATTCACGCCAGGTGGCCCTTGGAGGCCATCCTCGTTACACGAGGGGCAACCATTATTTTATCATCAAACACTACAGATAGCCGAATGTTTGGGGTCGTGTTCGTCAATCCAGCCTAAGTGTTCCGCTCGCTTTCTCTTTGCCTCACCTCTTCTTTCCTTCTTCTCCTACCCCATCCTCCCTTCTCGTCCCTCCCCCTTTTTTCCCTCTCCTTCCCTTCCCTATACTCTATTTTCCTTCTTCTCCTCTCTCCTATCCCAACCTTCCTTTTGCTACCATCTCCTCTTCTCTTTCCTTGCCTCCTTTCTTCTCCATTCCCTTTCCTCTCCTCTCTTTCCTTTCCCTCCTCTCCCCTCTTCCCCTTTCCTCTCCCTACCATCTACTTCTCTTCCTTTCTCCTCTCTTCTCTTCTTCTTTCTCTTCCTCTCTCCTCTTCTTCCCCTTCCTCTCCTCTTCTTCTCCCTCCCCTCTCACCATAATCAAGTGGCACAACCAACTCACTACACTGGAAGCCCCCACACCACGCAACAAGCCCCCACACCATGCAACAAGCCCCCACACCATGCAACAAGCCCCCACACCGTGCAACAAGCCGCCACACCGTGCAACAAGCCCCACACCATGCAACAAGCCGCCACACCATGCAACAAGCCCCACACCGTGCAACAAGCCGCCACACCATGCAACAAGCCCCACACCGTGCAACAAGCCGCCACGTAACAAGCCCCACACCATGCAACAAGTCACACCATGCAACAAGCCGCCACACCATGCAACACGCCACACCATGCAACAAGCCACACCATGCAACAAGCCCCACACCATGCAAAGCCCCACACCATGCAACAAGCCACACCATGCAACAAGCCCCATACCGTGCAACAAGACGCCACACCACACAACAAGCCCCACACCATGCAACAAGCCCACACCATGCAACAAGCCGCCACACCATGCAACAAGCCGCCACACCATGCAACAAGCCCCCACACCATGCAAAAGCCCCCACACCTGCAACAAGCCGCCACACCATGCAACAAGCCCCCACACTGCAACAAGACGCCACACCACGCAAAGCCCCACACCATGCAACAAGCCCCACACCATGCAACAAGCCTCCACACCACGCAACAAGCCCCACACCATGCAACAGCCCCACACCAGCAACAAGCCGCCACACCATGCAACAAGCCCCCACACCATGCAACAAGCCCCCACACCATGCAACAAGCCGCCACACCATGCAACAAGCCCCCACACTGTGCAACAAGCCACACCACAAGCCGCCACACCATGCAACAAGCTGCCACACCATGCAACAAGCAGCCACACCATGCAACAAGCCCCCACACCTGTGCAACAAGCCGCCACACCATGTAACAAGCCGCCACACCATGCAACAAGCCCCCACACTGTGCAACAAGCCGCCACACCATGGAACAAGCCACACCATGCAACAAGCCGCCACACCATGCAACAAGCTGCCACACTAAGCAACAAGCCCCACACCCTGTAACAAGCCGCCACACCAAGCAAAAGCCGCCACACCATGCAACAAGCCGCCACACCATGCAACAAGCCAAACACAATATGCAACAGTGTAATGTTGCCTGGTGCCACACCTGTGTCTAACCTGTTTAATTAGTCCGCCCTGTCCAGGTGTGATGCTAGGGTGGTGCAGCACCAGTGAAGGGGGTGACAGGGCAATGGGTATATTAAAACGAACCTCAGCTTAACCTAACCTTACCTAACCTAACCTAACATAACCTAACCTAGCCTAAACTAACCTAACCTAGCGTAACCTAGCCTAACATAACCTAACTTAGCCTAACCTAGCTTAACCTAACAAACCTATTTAACCTAAACTAATGGTGAAAGAGGGGCACTGGAGAAAGTGAGGGAGGAAGAGAAGGGAGAGGTACTAGAGGGAGGAGATAAGGAGTAATGCATTGGTGGAAGGGAGGAAGGCATTGGGGAGAGAATGAGGAGGAGGGAGGGAGGTAGAGAGGGGGACATTGAGGGATGAAGGGCGCACTAGAGGGAGAGAGGGAGGAAGGGAAGGAGAGAGAGAGAGAGAGAGAGAGAGAGAGAGAGAGAGAGAGAGAGAGGTACTGGAGGCACTGGGAGGAAGAAGGAAGAGAGGGAGGCACTGAGGGGAAACCAGGAGGGTGGGAGGGAGGGAGGGGAGGGAGGGAGGAGGAGAGGAGGGAGAGAGTGGGGAGGGAGGGAGGAGGAGGGAGGAGGAGGAGGAGGGAGGGAGGGAGGAGGAGGGAGGAGGAGGAGGGAGGAGGAGGGAGGAGAGTGGTAGGGAGGCAACACATACAGTATCACTAGGACGGGCATCACTTTTCCTTGAATGCTTAATCCAATTAGACGCTGTGACCCAGATGCGAATTCATCCCCTGCCACCCCCAGCCACCCCCTGCCGACCCGCAGCCACCCATTCATCCCCTGCCACCTCCCACCCCCCCTGCCGGCCCGCCACCCCCAGCCACCCATTTATCCCCTGCCACCCCAGCCACCCCAGCCAACCCTTCCACCCCTAGCCACCCCCAGCCACCCTTCCACCTTCAGTTACCCTTCCACCCCAGCACCCTTCCACCCCAGCCACCCTTCCACCTCAACCACCTTCCACCCCCAGCCACCCTTCCACCCCAGCCACCCCCAGCCACCCTTCCACTCAACCACCCTTCCACCTTCAGTTACCCTTCCAACCCCAGCCACCCTTCCACCCCCAACCACCCTTCCACCCCCAACCACCCTTCCACCCCAACCATCCTTCCACCCCCAACCACCCTTTCCACCCCCGCCACCCTTCCACCCAGCCACCTTCCACCTTCAGTTCTTCCACCCCAGCCACCCTTCCACCCCCAACCACCCTTCCACCCCCAGCCACCCTTCCACCAACAACCACCCTTCCACCCCAGCCACCCTTCCACCCCAACCACCCTTCCATCCCCAGCCACCTTCCACCCCCCAACCACCCTTCCACCCCCAACCACCCTTCCACCCCCAACCACCCTTCCACCCCCAACCACCCTTCCACCCCCCAGCCACCCTTCCACCTCCAATCATGGGATGGTGATGGTGTTGTAGTTGTAGTGATAATTTTGTAGTGGTGAGTGGTGGTGGTAGTGGAATGTGGTGGTGGTGGTGGTGGTGATGGTGGTAGATGGTGGTGGTGGTGGTGATATGGTGGTAGTGGTGTCGCTGTAGACTATGAGGTGTTTCTTGTTAATTATGTCTGGTGAGAGGCAGGGACGCGGCAGGACGGGGATAATGGCCCCGCCCCACAACCTCAACCATCAACCATCAACCATCAGCCCTCAACCATTAGCCCCTCAACCATTAGTCCTCAACCATCAACCTCAACCATCAGCCCTCAACCATCAGCCCTCAACCATTAGGCCCTCAACCATTAGTCCTCAACCATTAGTCCCTCAACCATCAACCCTCAACCATCAGCCTCAACCATTAGTCCCCAACCATTAGTCCTCAACCATTAGTCCCTCAACCATCAACCCCAACCATCAGTCCTCAACCATCAACCTCAACCACCAGTCCTCAACCATCAACCTCAACCACCAGTCCTCAACCATCAGTCCTCAACCATCAACCCTCAACCATCAACCCTCAACCATCAGCCCTCAACCATTAGTCCTCAACCATTAGTCCCCAACCATCAACCCTCAACCATCAACCCCAACCATCAACCCTCAACCATCAACCCTCAACCATCAACCCTCAACCATCAACCCTCAACCATCAACCCTCAACCATCAACCCCAACCACCAGTCCTCAACCACCAGTCCTCAGCCATCAACCCTCAACCATCAGTCCTCAACCATCAACCCTCAACCATCAACCCCAACCACCAACCCCAACCACCAGTCCTAACCACCAGTCCTCAACCATCAACCCCCAACCATCAGTCCTCAACCATCAACCCTCAACCATCAACCCTCAACCATCAACCTCAACCACCAGTCCCTAACCACCAGTCCTCAACCATCAACCTCAACCATCAGTCCTCAACCATCAACCCTCAACCATCAACCCCAACCATCAACCCCACCACCAGTCCAACCATCAACCAACCATCAGTCCTCAACCACCAGTCCTCAACCACCAGTCCCCAACCATCAACCCCAACCATCAACCCTCAACCATCAACCCTCAACCATCAGCCCTCAACCATCAACCCTCAACCATCAACCCTCAACCATCAGCCCTCAACCATCAACCCTCACCATCAACCCTCAACCATCAACCCTCAACCATCAGCCTCAACCATCAACCCTCAACCATCAACCCCAACCACCAGTCCCCAACACCAGTCCCCAACCATCAACCCTCAACCACCAGTCCTCAACCACCAGTCCTCAACCACCAGTCCTCAACCATCAACCTCAACCATCAACCCTCAACCATCAACCCTCAACCATCAACCTCAACCATCAACCCCAACCATCAACCCTCAACCATCAGCCTCAACCATCAACCCTCAACCATCAACCCTCAACCACCAGTCCAACCATCAACCCTCAACCATCAGTCCTCAACCACCAGTCCTCAACCAACAGTCCTCAACCACCAGTCCTCAACCATCAACCTCAACCATCAACCCCAACCATCAACCCTCAACCATCAACCCTCAACCATCAACCCTCAACCATCAACCCTCAACCATCAACCCCAAACCATCAACCCTCAACCATCAACCTCAACCATCGTCCTCAACCACCAGTCCTCAACCATCAACCCTCAACCATCAACCCTCAACCATCAACCCTCAACCATCAACCCTCAACCATCAACCTCAACCATCAACCCTCAACCATAACCCTCAACCCTCAACCCTCAACCTCAACCATCAACCCTCAACCATCAACCCTCCAACCATCAACCCTCAACCAACCATCAACCTCAACCCTCAACCCTCAACCATCAACCTCAACCATCAACCCCTCAACCATCAACCCTCAACCATCAACCTCAACCATCAACCAACCTCAACCATCAACCCTCAACCATCAACCCTCAACCATCAACCCTCAACCATCAACCCTCAACCATCAACCCTCAACCATCATCCTCAACCACCAATCCCAACCATCAACCCTCAACCATCAACCTCAACCAACCTCAACCATCAACCCTCAACCATCAACCCCAACCATCAACCTCAACCATCAGCCTTTAACCTCTATCCTCATCCTCAACCACCAGTCTTCAACCCTCAGCCCTTAACCTTATCCGTTAGGCCCTCAACCAATCAGCCCTCATCTCTCACCCACAACCTCCCAATTAACTCAGAGAACAGCTGTGGGGGTGGGGTAGGGGAGGAAGGGAAAGGGAGGAGGAAGGGAAGAGGAAGGGGGAAAGGAGGAAGGGGAGGAATGGGAAGAGGGAGGAAGGAAGGAAAGGAGGAAGGATGAAGGTAATCTATCCATACTCATATTTTATCTTGAGTTCGTTTAGGTAAGTTTGGTTCGGTCGAGTTAGGTTTGGTTAGACCATGAAAACACCAGCGCACAAATACATCAACAACAACTATAATAATAATAATAATAATAATAATAATAATAATAATAATAATAATAATAATAGTAATAATAATAATAATAATAATAATAATAATAATAATAATAATAATAATAATAATAATAATAATAATAATAATAATAACATCATTAGGAATAAGAACATAAACAAAAACAATTACCAACAAGACGTGACATATAATATTTTAACATAAACCTTCCTTCATCAGAGAACACAACACACACCTGGCCACCTCTCATCAGCGCGTCACCAAGGTAAGGTACACACCGCCCACTACCTGGTGTTGACCCTGGCGAATAAGAGCGCCAGGCGGACGATGATAAGAGAGCCTAGCGCTGAATGAGAGTCACAGCTTCAGGGTGTCTGGTTAATTATTTAGTTACCTGCCCACTCACTACCTGCTGAGAGAGAGGGTGGGTGAGGGAGGGAGTCAGGGGGTGAGGGAGGGAGGAGGGAGTCAGGGGGTGAGGGAGGAGGGAGTCAGGGAGGGAGGGAGGTGAGGTCAAGGGGGAGGAGGGAGGGAGTCAGGGGTGAGGGGAGGAGGAGTCAGGGGAGGAGGAGAGAAGGAGTGAGTTAAGGGTGAGGGAGGAGGGGAGGAGTGAGCTAGGGGTGAGGGAAGGAGTCAGGGGGTGAGGGAGAGAGGAGGGAGTCAGGGGGAGGGAGGGAGGGAGTCAAGGTGAGGGAGGAGGGAGTCAGGGGTGAGGGAGGAAGTCAGGGAAGGGGGAGGGAATCAGTGAGGGAGGGAGTCAGGGGTTCTCTCTCTGTACGGATCTATCATCGTGGCTGGGATCATTAACCGTCCTCGTTCACCTGGGACCATTAACCGTCCTCGTTAACACCTCGTTCACCTGGGACCATTAACCACCTCGTTCACGATCTCGCCTCGTTCACCTGGGATCATTAACCACCCTCGTTCACCTGGGACCA